AAGGACAGCATTGCTCAATCAACTATAAGTACTATGGCCATGTTATCTCTTCTAATTAAGGTACAGACACTCAAACTTGCTGCTTTCAGTGAGAAGTCAAATGTCTGAATATGAGCTGGAAGCTGCTAAGAGTCAACCCTCCTTCCCGTGGGGTTTACTTTCTCTGCTACTTTCACTATATACATGCCCCTTTCATGCAGCTCAAAGATATTGAAGAAACAGTTATTCAGCTTTATTCCCACTGATCTCAACTACAAACTGTTTCACTTTGGTTTTTGTTTAACTCTCGATGTTTAAAACGTTTCCCTGTGATCACATTTGCACCGTCTGATTTCAAAGTTTGTTTTCTTTTGGTCATTTAGTCCACAGAGTCCTTGGTGTTCTGAAAAGGACCTATAAATAAATGTATTATTATTAATATTAATAATAAAGTAGTTGTTGTACATGTACAGACCATAAATATGGAGTCCAGCTGTGTTTGATGCTGCTGGGCAGACTGACCACTGGGAACCTCTGAGCTCTGTTGATCCACTCTGTGGAGGAACCATGGACACACACACAAACGAAGCCACTTTCATTATTAAAATTTGAATTTAGCCTCTAAAAGCTGTGTTCAGTCTGTGTTGCTGCTTCCCTGTGTTTGACCTCACGTATGTGCTTCTGAAAGAACCGTTAAAAATTCCCGTAAACACTTTCAACCCTTTAAAGGCGGTGGCCGTTTTGCGTAACTATTTTTAAATCCCGGTAGCACTGCAACCACATAAGCTAGCACAATAATTTTCTTTGCATATGAAACCGGAGGAGTTGTACTCACATCTCATGCCATCAGCTTGTCCTAAGTCACAGTTTCCTTCCACATATAGCTTTGAAAAAACTGCATAAAAAGCAGCAACGAAAACATAATATTCCAGAAACACGCTTTGCCGATCCGATCAGCTGTTTGTCACACTTCCTACGTCCATCAGCGCGAACTATCGCATGTCCGCCATAACCTGCCCGAAACCGGAAGTGACGTCATTTTGCGGAAATGTAGATTTTTACCATCAGGGCCTTATGAGCCTATACTGGTGTTTTTAAAAGTTATGTTTGACTTTATGACTTTCTGTGTCGTTTCTGGGATTCTTAGGACTCATATTGCACTGCTGGAAATAGTTTATTTTGATGCATATGCTGTTTTTTTTGCAAATTTGCACTATAATATTTATTTATTTTCGTTTCGAGTCTCATTAACAGCAGCCAGTATGATTCAGGCTTTAGCTGCTGGGTCTCTTTGTGACCTCTCAGACTGTTTAACAGATCAGACACAAAGAGAATCAGAGCAGCTCTGTTCTTTAAAGACAAACACGAACCCACTCAGGTCACACTTTCCCCACAGATATGAGCATCACTGTCCTCAAACAGCAAATGACCAAGTCTAACATTTGGATCTTTTCTCTTTCATTGTTTGCTTTTTAATGAATCTTTGTAACAATCTGAGGATGTTTCAGGTCATATTTCAACTTGTAACAGCTGTCAATAAACAGCTACGAGGAGAGCTGCTCTTTGAAGGAGTTGGTCTGGAGACATGTGAGGAGCATTAAGCTCCACAGCCTGGTTCTGACCAAAGCTTCCCTCGTTAGCGAGTTAAAGACCGGTTGAAGACATTCTGTCGTGTTTTTCGTTCTTCATGAGGAATAAGTCTCTAAACTAGCAGGGCCTGTGGAAACACAGACTCAACAAAATGACTGTTACAGGGTCAAAGGTCAGGGTTCAAACACAGGACTGTGTTTCACTGTTTCAGCATCAACACTGTGGAACAAACTTGCTGTCACTGTGAGATCAGCACAGTCAGTAAGGTGTAGTAACTCCTCTGGATGAATCCTGCACTCCTCCTGATCTGTCACATTGATCCAGCTGTCTGCAGATTCATCACTGTGGTCGGCCTGCTACCAACAGCAGCTGGATGGCTGCTGCCAACAGCAGCTGGATCACTGCTTCATGTTTGAAAGGAGCTTTCTTTATCAGTCACTTCATTATAGGAACAAGAAGCTCATCAGATCCTGTCTGTGTGACACTGAAGGTGAGATTAACAATGAATGATGCAGCCCCAGTGTGATCCACTAACAGTGTGTTATCATTTATAGAGAAACTCACAGGAAAAGAGGAAACACACTTGTATAAATGTGTGAATGAGGCGAGTATCAAAGTGCTCAGAGGAGAAAAGCGCCATGAAAGAACCATTACTCCCATTATTATTCCAAACTGCTCCAGCCTATAAAGCTGAACTCTGTGTGAACAGCTGACCTGTGTCATGTGACCAAGAACACAAACATGATCTACTGTCAGATCAGGACACGTCACAGTTACTATGTTACTGTTTAATAGCACACTGCAACATTCACACGTTCATCTAACAAACTGGATTATTAACAGCTGCATTTTCACACACGTTTCACTTTGATTCTCTACAGATTCAGCAGACAGAAAGAAGTTGATGAGGAAACAACAGTTCAGTTCATTTCTGTCCTGGTTGATGAAAATGGCAGCGCTGCTGAGGAGCAGGAAGTGGGGATCAGACTGAGTGAAGACTTTCAGGACAGAGAGTTTGAGAATATCTCCCCTTCCTAAAAATAATCTCTGAGTATCTGCTGTGTTTGTGGAAACACTCCAACATACAGCGCTTCACATATGAACATAGAAATGTGTGTGAAACAGAGCTGACATTAAACATGATGGAGGATTTATTCACAAACACACAACAACATTTACACACACATTACCTCTCTGCTGGATGACACACGCCTGATTTAAAGTTAATACCAAGATCCTTTGAGTCATCACTCTGTAAGGACACAGAGCTGGGTGGAGGTCCAGGTGGGTTCCTGTGAATAATGATGGAGCAGTGATGTGAGTGCTGAGCTGTGACATGGAGAAGAGTCATGGACAGTTAGAGATGGTCATCTCACCTCTGAGCTTTGGTCTGGCTCTCATGTTCCCCACACAGAGTGCTTTTAGAGGGAGGGGCTCCCTCCTCTCGGTCCTCACACTGATCCATGCTGCTCAATTCACATCAGCTCACACACACTTTCTACCTTCACCTGTAATGGAGTATAAATAAAGATTTTACAGCATTCGGAGGATTTTAAAAGAATCAAATTCAGTTCAGTTCATATATTTTTAGACAGTGAAGCAGTTTTTACTCCTTCAGTTTTTTTCTTCTCCCAACTTTTCAACAGACTTGAGATAATCAAACATTTCTATCACAGCCGTTTCACAGACAGATGTAGGACAATTCTTTATATAAATGAAGCTTATGAAGGAGGACTTTGATATATTTTTTCCCACAGAAGGAGTTGAACAGAGTCCAGTCTAACAGAATTTTTTGTGACACAGTAACAAAAAAGCAATCTATGTTTTATCATCAAAGACACAAACTTTCACATTCTCTACTAGTGAAACTATCATTGAATGGTGGTTCATGGACTGTAATTATGTACAAAACTATTTTTCAGAATCCATTACATGAGCTCAACAAACAGTAAGTTTCCAAAAGACAAACTATTAAAGGAGTAAACAAAGCAAACTTAAATTTTTTCTGATCAAGTCAAAACCATTGCTTTGGCCTGGTGGCCATTGTTTTTAGCACACAACAACCGGCATGTTGAAACTAACAGAACTGAACTTTGAAAAACCCTGTTTGTGTGTCACCAAATACTGTTTTAATATTTTTTAGCCGAGAATGTAGTGGTTTAATCTTCAGATATCTGGTTGGTTTGTCAAGATAGAGCCTCTTTGCAAAAGTGCTTCGATGATTTCGGAGATGTCTGCCCAGCCCAGTTTCACGGTTGTGACGGAGAGAGGAGGTAAGTGACGGAAGTGACGGACAAGGTAAGCGACTCATGTTCTAACTGATGTTGGCGGAAAAGTAAAGCGAATGCTAGCTTAGAATTGAACAAATTCCTTTAAGCTTCAGTATTACCAAATAGACTTATCAATTGTCTTATAACTAACAACATTTGTCTAAATCATCTCCAACACCCTGTAGAACTACGGGGAGAGTTTAGAGGCTCTCCAAGATTACATCGATCAGTGCTTCCAGGATCTCGTAATGAAGAAGGCTCAGAGTGCATCTTCCCAGGCCAAATCTGAGACGCCGTCATCGAAAAGATGTCGCCCGGCAGATTCCCCCGGCACAACATCGCCAGCCGGCAAAGATATTGCAGACATCCTAGAGTCAATCGACAAACGATTGTCCAGTTTCGATGCAAGGCTGTCCTTGGTGGAGATTCTACACCGGGAATTTAAATCCTTGCGAGAATCCCTGTAGTTCCCTGGAACCTGGAGTTCAGCCAGCAGCAGGTGGAAACGCTCGCTGCTGAAAATGCCACGCTAAGGGAGTTGGTGAAATGTCTCACTGAAAATGTTACCCAGCTAAATAGAGAAAATAAAAAAATAAAAGAGACAGTTATTGATCTACAAGCTCGTGGCAAGCGAGATAATCTGGTATTTTCTGATATTCCAGAATCCGCTGGAGAAGACGCGTAGACTACGGTGAAAAACTTCATCAAAACCCACCTGAAGCTGCTGGAGGACACCGTAAAGAACATCGCCTTTGATAGAGTGCATCGCTTGGGTGCCATGAGGTCGCCGGCCGGGAGACCATGTCCTATTGTGGCCAGATTCGGCCACTTCAAACAAAAGGAACAGGTGAAAAGTCGCGGCAGGGAATTAAAAGGAACGGACTTCAGCGTGAACGACCAGTTCCCAAAAGAGATCCTGGAACTACACAGGGTCCTCTTCCCAATCTGACGCGGCTTCATCCAGAAGGGCTGTCATCGCTGTGGACCGGCTCTATGTGGATGGACAGCTTTACCGCTACCCTGGCATCACTCCGTGGCTGTATTAACTTCACACCAGATTAGA